ATCCTTGCTTGTCGCGATCATCGCTGTCTTTGCTTAAAGTCAGGCCAAAAGTCATTGAATCCATAACGAGCAACCGAGAGCCACAACCGGGCTTCGACGCGGTCTACATGCTCATGCCTACCTCCGCCAATATCGACCGCATCGTCCGCGATTTCTCCGGCGGACGGCAGCAGTATGCCGCCGCGCACCTCTTCTTCGTCGATGGTCCGTCTCCTCATCCTCTTCCTTCCATATCCAAGTCCGTTTGAGGTTTGACACCTCTTCGGGAATAGGTTTAGCGGAGGAGCTCTTCGAACGACTCACGTCCTCGCCGGCGGAACCGTTCCTGCGGGGTTTGCAGGACCTCTATGTCAACTTCTGGGGTGCGTCTGATCGACCCCGTACTCCTTCGCAACAATAGAGATAGAGCCCTGAATCACATCACATTTTTAGCGATCGAGTCACAGGTATTCTCACTACATGTGCCTGAGTACTTTTTCAGCATGTACAGCCCATTGCGATCCGATGCTACCGCACGTGCCGAGCGAGATAGACTAATGGAGGATATCCGCTTCGTAGCGAAATCTGTACGTTTCTATTCTTCTTCCTTCCCCTTCTTTTCCATTCCTCGCTCACACGCGAGGCGCGGCGCGGCGTGGGGTCCATGGGGCATGCAGATCGCAAACGTGTGCATAACGTTAAATGAATTTCCTTACATCCGATATTACGTCCCCGCACACCACGGACCCCTCGGTGCGCTTCGTCCGCACGAGAGCACCCGTGCAGTGGCGCGCCCACCGGAGAATTCGCTGCGCTGGCGCACGAACCTGGCGCGTGGTGATCAAGCGCGCCAGTACGAGGCCGCGGACGCCGAGGTGCTGTCGCGAGTCCTGGCGTTTGAGGTCCAGGCGGCGCTAGATGAATACAAGCGTGCGAATCCAGACTTTCCGGTACGTGCGTGTATATGCGCATTCCAAACCACCAAGGCTTGGCTGACGTGAGCTCTCGCGTGCGAGGGAAATAGAAACAGGATTCCGGGAGGCAGCGCGGGACGCTGATCGTGACTGACCGCGCGATGGACGTCGTCGTTCCGCTCATTCACGAGTTCACATACCAGGCGATGGCGAATGACCTCCTTCCCATCGAAGATGGATCTAAATACACGTGCGTACATCGAGTACCCGGCCATGTTTTTCTTTGTCGTGACATAACAGTTCTGCATTATAGGTACAAGTTCCAGTCTTCGGTCGGCGCATATGAAGATAAGACGGCTGTACTGTCGGATGCGGACACAGTATGGGCCGATGTGCGGCACATGCACATGAGGGAGGCTATTGACAAGCTCATGGCCGACTTCAATAAGTTTATGACCGATAATGCGGGGTTCAAGGGGTGCGCTTGGCCTTCTTTCTTGTGTGCCCTGAAATGAGAGCCGGTTATTGACGAGTCATTTGTATAGAGAGGGTGCGGCTACGCTCAATGACATGAAAGATATGCTGGCTAGCCTACCCCAGTATCAAGAGCAGAGGGAAAAGGTGCGCAGACAGTCCGCGCATAGACCATCCATTGCTTCAATCGCCAACACTAAACGCTTACAGTTCTCATTGCATTTGAGTATGGCACAAGAGTGCATGGACATTTTCGAACGTGACAAGTTGCCTGTAGTAGCGACCGTCGAACAGGTACGTCTGTCAAATGCGGGGCTCATACTCGCCCGTTCTTCATAGTCCACTCCTAGGACTGTTCAACGGGGGTGACCGCGCAAGGTAAAACGCCAAAGACTCTGGTCGAAGAAATGGTACCGCTCCTGGACAGCCGAGAAGTAATGTTCGTCATAGACAAAACACATGTCGGCATCTACCTGACCATCTCTGCGACAGTAACTCTAACAAAGTCCGCATCATCGCACTTTACATCCAGTTCCGAGAAGGCGTCCCCGATGAGGACCGTAGACGGTTGTACCAGCATGCGCGATTGACGCGGCCTGAGATCGACGCCGTGAATGCACTCGTTCACTTGGGTGTGCGAATTAACAGAGTACGTAAATAAAATTGGTACCTCTTCTGTGAACGCTGATATAATACTGCGTCGGGCAGGGGCCCGGGGACAAGGACCTTAAACGTCGCATTAAACAGAAGCAGTCGAACGAAGAGGAGTACGAGCTCTCTCGCTATAAACCCCTTCTCCGTACAGTCATCGAGGTACGCCACAACTCCTCTCTCTCAATTGTGACCGCTCACCCATGGTTACAGGACCAAGTCTCGGGTAGGCTAGACCCCGTAGGATTCCCCTACGTCAAGGACTTCCCACAATCCACCCCTACTGTATCCAGCGCGCGACCTACAATGACACCGACGACCTCGCTGCGGAGCGCAAAGCCGAGCTGGCACCGTGCAGCACGTACAGGCGGTCCCGCAGTCGAAAACCGTCAACGGCTGCTCGTGTTCGTAGCGGGCGGGATGACCTACTCGGAGATGCGTGAGGCGTACTCGCTATCCAGTCAGCTCGGGAAGGACATCTTCATCGGTGCGGTGGCACAGCTTATACTTTTAATATTGGATGCTGAATTATTATTATTATTATTATTGGGGAATGGTGGTCGTGGATAGGATCAACGCACACGCTGACGCCACGCCAGTTCATCGACGACCTTAAAGTGCTAGACCTCAGTGGCATCGGTTCGCGTGCATTGCCGAACGGTCTCAGGGAAATGAGCGTGGCACGGCCGTACCAAGCATTCTACGACGAGCGGTACTTTACGCGCGACGCGCCGCCCCCACAACAGCAACAGCAACAGAAACATAAGGCGCCGCCGATGGGTAAGAGCGTGAGCGCACGCAGTATAGGGAGGTCAGGGGCAGATCTCTCGCTAACGAGCAGCAACCTGTCCGCCAACTCGTCACCCGCGCCATCTTCGAACGGGGGGAAGGAGAAGGAAAAGAAGAAACGTTTTTTGGGCTTCTGAGTCGTTGGTTTGAATATACATACCTTGTTAGCCCACCTACTTTTGTTTCATTATTATTGTTTCCTTTTTTTTTTCAATAATTTGAGGTCATGTGTCTGGATGTAGGTGAGCGTGGTTTTTTGCCCTTGCGAGCGCAGCGGGGTGATATCATATAATTGATCATTACAGCGTAGTGCAAGAAGACGATAAGGTGAAGGAAGGAGAAAAAAAACGGGTCTATGGCTATGCTGTAACATCCAGTTTGGCTGTAATGATGACAAGAATTAGAAACGATGTCGCCGTGCAAAACTGCCGAGGGGTAGGGCGAGCGTGCTTACTTTCGTGCTTCTTCGCTTCGCCTACCTTCCTCGCCGCCTTTGTAAGGTCCTCCTGCTGGATATATTCCCTGCCGGGGTGGGGGGAAGAAAAAAGGTGAGCGGAAGATTCTGTTCGAAAGATGAAAGCGACTGTACCGATCATCTCGAATAGCAAACATGCCCGCCTCCGTCACGACGTTCCGCAAGTCGGCCCCGTTGAACCCGTCAGAAAGCTTTAAGGCTACGTCAATAGGGAGCCCCCTCGGTTCAAAAATTGCAAATACGCACCTTGACGATCGCCTCGTAGTCGATATCGCCGTGCTTGTTGACAGGTCCCGCATGGATCTTAAGGATCTCAAGCCGGGCCTGCTCGTTGGGAAGAGGCACCTCGATTTTGCGGTCGAGCCGACCGGGGCGCATTAGCGCGGGATCGAGCGTGTCCGGTCGGTTCGTCGCCATGATGAGCTTTGTGCGTCCAAGAGAGTCAAAGCCATCCATCTGGTTTAACAACTGTGTACGCAGGATGTGTCAATCAGTTAGTCATTAAAAGTCGGCCCACTTAATGGTCCTGGGAATGGCGAAACAGGTAGGGACAGGGACAGGGACAAGATAGTACCTCCATTAACGTGCGCTGGATCTCACGATCTGCACTGGTGCCCTCCGAGAATCGGCGTCCGCCGATGGCGTCGATCTCGTCCATGAAGATGACGCACGGCTCATGGTCGCGTGCATAGCCGAACATCTCACGCACCACGCGTGCCGACTCGCCGATGTATTTGTCGACGATAGCGGAGGAGACCACTTTGAGAAAGTTGGTCTCGAGGGTAGCGGCGACTGCGCGGGCAAGTAGTGTCTTGCCTGTCCCGGGTGGGCCATAGAGAAGTACACCTTTTGGGGGCGTGATGCCGACGCGTTGGAAGAGTTCGGGATTGAGGAGGGGAAGTTCGATGATCTGCGGTGTGTGGAGAATGCGGTGGGTACGCGGGTAAGAGAAACGGATAGAAAGGGTGGACGCACCTCGCGCAGTTCGCGCACTTGCTCGCCTAGACCGCCAATACCTGCAAAGGTAGCACCACCTGGATCTTCAAGGCTCATTTTGTATACCATGGGGTCTACTTCTCGTGGGAGGATGCGCATGATAGTGAGGGTGGTCATGTCGAGGCTCACGCGTGTCCCGGCCTTCAGTTTGTGTGCGGGAAGAGCGGGTCGGTAGGAGACGACGTAGCGTGGTCCTGACGAAGCTTTCACTATGACTGAGGGTAGAGGTCAGTGAATGTAAAGTGGTGTCGAGATGGGGGTAATGCGCACAGCGCTCATCGTCTAGCTGCTTCATGACCTCTCCGATAATCTGACCGACGGACTGTACGGCCTTGATATCCTCCTCGGTCTTCCTGTAATCTTTTTGCAAGTCCTTGATCGAAAACCGTACTAAGCATCGTGTTAACAAGACGATGCGGTAGATGATTTGAGTAGGACGTACAATTCTTCAAGGCCTCACTCATGTTCTCATGTGCTAGCATTTTCTGATATTGAATCGGTCGGTGAGCAGATGTCCAGCGCAATACTAAAACGGTACCAACGTCGCGATAGGCCTTGAGGGCCTCCACTCTTTGCGGGTCCATTGGCCTTTGTGGTCTCGAAGGTGTTGCGTCCTTAGTGTGATGGTCTTCAATACTCGTACGCGCGTCTCGACGCGTCAGCTTCCCAATTGGTCAAAGCTGGTTTGCGTCATAGTGCTTTGTTGAGACCTCGGAGATATCGGCCTGGTGGTCTAGTAGTATGATTCCTTCTTAGGGTTTCAACAGCCATTTGGAGGAGGTCCCGGGTTCAATTCCCGGCCAGGCCCTTCTTTTGTCATTTTCTATCTCCACCTTTACGCTCCTTCCTGGCATCCTTTTGCGCGTGAAACGTGCGTAATTTTTATTCTCACTGCTTTCACTATTTGCGTGGCTCATATTTCTGTTTTTCCGTTTTGTGACCAGAAGTGACTCATTCTCGCGCTCGCGACTTGCCTCGTGAGGTTGTGTGCTCATAGCTACTCATAATTCCTACCCCCCATGCCCCGCAGAAAGCGCGATTTCATGGATGATGGTATCTCGGACTCCTCAGGCGGTTCGGATGATGAAATCGCTGATGACGACGATCCTTACCAGCGGAAGAGGCAGCGACGAAGCGGCGACGACGACAGTGAGGATGAAGGCTTCGGAGGCCGTCGCAAGCCAGCTCAGCGGCACGACTGGGCAAAGCACCGGCTTTTGTGTCAAGCAATACGACGAGTACTAAACCTCAACTCGATCAGTCCGAAGTCATAGATATTCCGGAGGTTGTGGTTGACCGCGTTTCTGGCTCCGAATCCTCGGGTGCAGTGGCGAAGATGAGGATGACCAGGTGGACGCTGAAGCGGATGGCACGGACGGTACTGATGGTGATGGCGACGAGGAGGAGCAAGACACGGAACCGTCTAGGGTACCCTCACCCCGTGTCCGAGATGACGAGGAGGAGGAGGAAGAACAGCGACCACGCTTCGGTGGACTCGGTCTGGGCGCATCTAGCTCACGTCCTCCAACTACATTCTCTGGCTTCACAAAAAGTGGAATTGGCGCGTCCCGCCCCGCCGCAATCTCCATCCCCCCAACGCCAACCCCCCTACACATTCACCATCCCCGCCCCGCCGGCTTCCGACAATACCTCCATCCCCAGCAACCTTCCTTCTGCATTTGGTGGGAGCGCACGCCCACAGCGCGCCTTCGTCAGGAATGGCGCATCCTCCACACCTCCGCCTACCAAGCCAAACCTCTCTGTTCAAGAGAGTGCACACTTCCGCAAAATCGGGGGCTCACTCGGTGCGCGCATGCTTGCAAAGATGGGATGGGAAGCAGGCACTGGTCTTGGTGCAGGGGGTCAAGGTATAGTCGTACCGGTCGAGTCAAAAGTGCGGCCGAAGAACATGGGTATCGCCTTTAGAGGTTTTGGCGAACGCACTGAACAGTCGAGGGCTGAGGCGCGTCGACGTGGGGAGGTTCTCAGTGACGATGAAGACGAAGGGCAGAAAAAGAAAGCGGCAAAAGGCAAAGAGAAAGAGAATAAGAAATCAGATGTGTGGAAGAAACCAAAGAAGATCAAAACCAAAATCGAGCACAAGACCTACGAGCAGATCGTCGCCGAGGTCGGGGAGGATGTCGCTGGGCCCTCTGGGCTTGGGGTCATTATTGATGCAACTGGTGCAACTGTAAGTGATTCTCGACGCCAGTGGTTGACAGTTTACTCATTGTCATCGTCCTAGCCCCGCGAAGTCTCATCTTTAGCGGACGTTTCTATAGCGTCTTGGACGCCCTCCACTGACTCCACTCGTATACCGGAAGTTCGACATAATGTCAGACTCATTGCCGAAGCTGCTGCAAGAGATCTGGATGGGCTTGCCCGTGAAGCCAAGGACATCCAGAAGAGAAGACGGACAATTCAAGAGGAGGAAGGAAGGCTAAAGAGGAAGGTCAACGAGGAGGCGGAACGTACGTCCTTCCGTTGACATTGACCTTCCTATATGCTAACGGACACATTAAAGTTATTTCTCGGATGCAACAAGTTCGACTCGTGGTCGATGACATACAGACACTGTCCAGGCAACAGGCATCGGATTACGAAGCCTCCTTGGAGCCATTTTCACCACATTTCTACAAGCTGCTGTCCCAATTCCCCACAGAGTTTGATAGGTATAGACTGGATGAGATTGTCGTGGCTGCCATTGTGCCAATAGTATGTGCAACTATCTTTGGGAATGTCGTACCAGCGCTTATTGCTTCATTAGGTACGACGATTACTCTCGCAATGGAACCCGCTGGAGGATCCTGATAAATTACTTTCGACATTCCGACTCTGGAGACAAGCCCTAAAACTCTCAGACCATGAAGAGCGCCCTCCAGACACCCAAGTAAGTTTGTTTGGAGTCAGCGCATCCTCGGTCCCTCCGCCGAAGGTAGAAGCACCCATGACTCCCTTCGAGAGCCTGCTGTGGAACGTTTGGTTGCCAAAAGTTCGCTCGTCCATTAACAACGACTGGGATCCTTGCAGACCCCAAGCGGCTGTAAAGTTATACGAGGCTTGGTCGACCTTTCTCCCCCCCTTCATCCGCGATAATTTCCTCGACCAACTTATTCTCCCGAAGGTTTCAAAAGCGGTGGCCGACTGGAGTCTGCGCCATTCAGATGTCCCACTCAAGACTCTGGTGTTCCCGTGGCTGCCGCACGTCGGCCTACGTATGGAGGAGTTTTTGGGTGATGCACGGCGCAAACTGAAGTCTGTCCTTCGGGGATGGGATATCACAGAAGGCGTTCCCGATGATCTTCCAGCCTGGCGTGAGGTTTTCGGTGTGGGCGAATGGGATACGATGGTGCTTAAATACATCGTTCCCAAGCTCGGCTCCACATTACGCGACGAATTTCGCGTGAACCCACGCTCCCAAGACATGGCTCCACTCGAGCGGGTGCTCGCATGGGCGCCTCTTGTACGCGGCTCCATCTTCGCGTCACTGCTCGCGGCCGAGTTCTTCCCCAAATGGCTGGATGTGTTGCATGTCTGGCTTGTGCAGCCGCGCCCGAATTTCGAAGAGGTCGCACAGTGGTACGCATTCTGGAAGAGCGTATTTTCTGAGGATATTCTGGCGCTCCCTGCCGTGCATGACGGCTTCACACGCGGATTGCAACTCATGAATATGGCCATCGAGCTCGGACCTGATGCGCCGAAGAAACTGCCACGTCCAGACAGTCGTAATTCCCCTGCGCCGTCGGGGACTGCGAAAGGAACAGCGACGGCGGCAGCGAAAAACCTGCCGGCGCGATTGCAGGAGATCACTTTCCGTTCGATTGTGGAGGACTTTGCAGCGACGCATAATCTCATGTTCTTGCCCTCTGGTCGTGTCCATGAGCGCTCGCGCATGCCGCTGTTCCGTGTTTCGCCAACTGCGGATGGGAAGGGCGGTGTTCTTGTGTATATTCTCGATGATGCTGTGTGGGCACCCAATGAAAGTGGAGAATACCAGGCCATTACGTTGGAGAATATGGTTCTCTGTGCTACGAAGGGTAGCAAGTGATCGTGCTACAAGTACTGTAACTTAGTATATAATAGTCGTATAGCAACGTGCATGTGTGGTCTGCCTCGGTCACGTGTATTTGGTGTGTGCCCTAAAGCGGAGTTTTTACCCACGATAGTAGCAAACTTTGGTCCTGGGCACGACGCCGCCATTGCAAGCATATTCAAAACGTCGCCGTTGTCGACAACGTCCCACCCCCCAAGACATTCATCATGGTCAGTTCACTCCTCAGCCATGCTCATAGTGCGTCATTGGGGTAAGATGGGAGCGTTCAGCCGGTGGATGGACGATAAGAAGGATGGATGGTGTCAGTTGAACTTGGATGACGATCTCCCTCCCATGACCGGTTCGTTCTTATACTCTATGATACTAACTTTGCCGCTTCGTAGGCTCGTGGACCAAGGAAGCACCTTAAGCGTCTCGCCGCGCCCTCTTCATGGATGCTTGATAAACTGAGTGGCACATATGTGCGTTCCCCGCTGCTTCATTTTTCCTCCCGGTACTACGTGTTTCCAGGCTCCCCGTCCCTCTCCTGGACCCCATAAACTCCGAGAGTCCCTGCCCCTTTCCATCTTTCTCCGCAACAGGCTGAAATATGCCTTGACTGGTCGTGAAGTCACCTCAATTGTCCAGCAGCGTCTGATCAAGGTTGACGGCAAGGTCCGCACTGACAACACGTATCCCGCTGGTTTCATGGGTACCGTATTTATCTTGAAGTCACACTCAATGGACTTATCCCTCGATAGATGTCCTCTCCATTGAGAAGTCGAACGACCACTTCCGCCTGCTGTACGATGTCAAAGGCCGCTTTATTATCCACCGGATTACGCCTGAGGAGGCGATCTATAAGCTCCTCAAGGTAAAGAAGGTCGCTCTCGGCAACAGAGGCGTGCCCTATATTGTCACCCATGACGGACGTACAATTCGTTATCCCGACCCCAGTATCAAGGTGAACGATACCGTCAGGTTTGACCTCACGCAAAATAAGATCATCGGCATCGCTAAATTTGATACCGGAAACCTGGTCATGATTACTGGAGGTCGTAACATGGGCCGAGCGGGTGTTATCGTGCATCGCGAGAAACACATTGGTGACTTTGATATTGTGCACGTGAAGGATGCAATGGATCGTACTTTTGCAACACGGTGAGTATCATCCTTCATTGACGCGAGATAGTCTGGCTAAGCGTATCCAGGATAACCAACATTTTCGTCATCGGCGATAGCCCAAAGCCTTGGGTCACGCTGCCGAAGGGCAAGGGTATCAAGCTTACGATTGCCGAGGAGCGTGACGTCAGGCGGAAGCGGGCTGCTGAATCGCAATAAAGGCTTGTAGTGTTCTTCCCTATCCCTATCCATTGTATGTCACGCTCGTATGCCACTAAAAATACCGCATGCGATATGCCACTTCGGTGCAGGAAAGAAGTCAAAGCCCTGGTCGGTGTTCCGATCCATTGAACCATAAGTTAGTCGGTCCGATCGGATGATTTCCCTCTTTCTCTTGTGATTTCAAGTTGGTCCGTACGGACCAGGCTTGTGATTTCATCTTCGGCGACTCGCGAAGTCCGAATGGGTACAAACCTGACGATGTGGTGCTGATATCCTCACAGTCCGGTAACAATACAGGTATCTAGGTTGAGAGAGCGTTGCTATTTGATTTAGGTGCGGCTAAGTCAACGTCAGCAACAGCTACTACTATGCATGGAGAAGGTACTGTTACAACTGCCGGTCGAGAGTATGATCAACTATATGACCCACTG